GACTGAGTAAGAGTGTTGATATCTTTCATGACTCTTTTCTACTATTTATGACTCAAGTTTCTGAGTAGTTAAGAGATGTGTAGGCAGAGTGTCATTTGTCGTTAATTTCTTCCTTTATATATTATTTTCTATCGTTTTCTATTGCGTATGGTTTCAAAGTCGTCACTAATAGTTCACAAATTTCGTAATTCATATCATGTTTCACTTTGTTTTTTCTGTTTGTATTAGTTAAAATCTTTTCCGTTTGTACTATATCCTAGGAATGATGTGGCTGCCTTCAATAAAATTTTGCATTTTCAATAATGTTTAAATGATAGATTTAATGTAATTTGCTCTGGTGGTCCTAAGTGGTGGTGGTAGCTAGTTTCAAAGAAAAGCTTTAGTTCTATAAAAAAGAACAATTTTTATACGCAACGAAATTGCGATTTATTTTCTTTATAAAAATCTATCTATTTATATTAAAATCTTGAGAACGGCTGGGGCGATTTAGCTGATTTTAGTTTTGAAATATTTGTCGTAGTCCAGAAAAGATTTAAACGGTGACAAAATATGGAAACATTGCAAAGAAGATAGCAAAAACAACAATTTCATTTTATATAAACCATATTATACATACATATAAACTGTTTACCTACTTGTTTGTCATACATTTGACGTTTCAGCCATTTTAGCGAAGGGAGAGTTTTTTTGTCGTTAGGATAGGTGATACAAAGTACACCAGGTCATCTAGTACTTCATAAAACATACTTTTCGTCTGGTAAGCAGATGGGTGATGAAAGGCCGATCTCTTGTCGGATCTTGTACGAGTTGCTTTTGTTTACAGTCCATTCCAGTTTAGAAAATTCATGTAAAAGGCTGGAATCTAAAAGCTAAGCAATTTTAAGCCTCGTTCTTATAAAAATAAAATAATACAGTTTGAATGATCCGTTAATTTATTTTAGATTTAAAAATATTGGTGCAAGTATCCCAAAGAAACATTAATCTAAACAAAGAAATCCATCCATTACACACATGACACAAATGTTAAAATTTTAATTTTATCAAATAACACTTAAATTGAATATCCAAATCATGTAGGTACAAATCTCCAGTATTAGTTAGCAGATACGTTAACCTTTATATGACAAACGTTATGAATGAAATTAGATGCATTAGTTACTGTCTTGTTGTGAGGGTATTGATATTCATAAAACAGATAATGTTTACGCTTCACAACTTAATCTAAAACTTAAAATAATGATAATGAGAAAATGCAAATTTTACGTCTAGCGTTACGAAATCAATAAAAGCTTTTACTCGCATTCCGTTTCATTTGTGGTTGATTCACAAAATAAGTGCAAATATTTAACAGACAAACTTGATTTGCATCAACGCTTTTATTGCAAAGTTTGTGTTGAATATCCACACCATCTGCTCAAGTTTTGTCATTGCTGAGCAACCAAAGGAATACAAATGAGGCACTCTGATGACTTCATCAGCGAACTAATCTTGAATTCTAGTCAAATGTTAATTAACAGATTTGAATCTTGAGTAGGAAATCATGTTAATAGTTCGTGAAAATCTAAACCACTAGATTCCAATTTTCCCCTTAAGCAATATCACACAAACACAGGTAAAGCTACCTATAGCATTCCAAATTACAAATTCATATAGGTACATTATGTATATCTCGATCGTATCATGTCGCTGTTCAATAAATCTATTCATATTAATTACTACAAATCCAAATTAATTCTCTTATAAAACTTTACTAAAGCATACAAACTTAAATATTCCCATAATTGAACAATCTCATTAACTTGATTTAGAAGACGAATTCAGATAGTTGTATACAAGTCTAATTTAATAGAAACATATTGTACGTTAAAACTTTTATAAAATTTACACGATAAAACATGCAGTTTTTATAACGCTATCAGATTCAAACAAGTTCTTAAAGTATTTTTTTATTTTCAATTACTAACTAATCTAATGGACGTGCTCAGTATTCAAGTTGGTAAGGCTTCTTTAGTGTGTTCAGCCGCTGAACTATAAATAGTTATTATCATATCATCATTATCCCCCCTGCTGGGGCAATAGGACTTACGTATGGATGGATAAAGGAGAATGACCTATTACCTACCACGCCGGCCTAGTGCAGATTTAATTTGCGTTCAGAAGCACGGAGGAGCTAGAAATAATATTTTTGGTGACCTATCCCATAATAAGATATTCTGAACGCTACTCAAACAACTTGCACAATCGCAGACCGAACATTTTAATAACTAGACCATCGATGGCCTAAGATTTTTTCCAGTTACAATGGTGACTGTTTGCTGATCCAGTTTTAGTAATAAGGTTATTAGTAAGTCTAAATTGTTTTATATGTCTACAAATCGTTATTTTTTGTTGTTACAGATACGTCAATCGCTAGTTCCTGTGCTTCTACTTGCAACCGTCGCAATCTCGACCAGCAACGTACTTCCAGTATTATCCATAAATCAACTAGAAACTGAACCTGCAGATTTTGATGGCCAGCTTAATGACAATATATTTAGAATTAATAGAAATGAACCTAGAAACATACTAAATGATATATTTTATACAATATCGATCACAACACCTCAAAATAACAGACAGATAAAAGAACTACAGTACGTAGATATTGACAATAATAATAAACCAGAAGATGAATCAAATATTATGAATAGGGAAGACGTTTATAATGGAGAAGGTTTTCGAAAAGAACAATGGCACAATTATCCAAGACAATTAGATCGACTCCACGAATATTTGAATACCAACAAACGAACCCCGGACCCTGACGACCCTTATGATGACAATGACGGTACACCAGAGCCAAATCAAAATAATGAAGTTAACACTAACGAATTTCATTTAACTACAAAAGATGAAAATGGTTATGAATCTGTAATCGCAGCTACTAACCCGTTCCTAATATTTAAAATACACTTGGCATGTTTAAACGATAAATTGAAAAACACGAATATAAATAGTGCAACGGATTACATGTCATCAGAACCAGAATATATCCCTAATGATAAAAAAGAAATATATGAAAGTGTAATAAACCCCGAAGTAAGCGTAACGAAGGTTAAAAGGGAAGAAGAGCATAGTCCTCAAAGCACTGGCGTTTCAGGTAATAAGGAGTTGAAGAATCTTTCATACAATAGCCAATACATTGAAGGAAATCTTATTTTAAACTTACTGATATTATTATTCCAGACAACTCCATAACCAAAAATCGAGCTGTCAAGAAGAGGATCTTCTCTCTGTGGAGCCGACTCCAGAGCTTCAACCACAAGGGTCATGAGCTCCAACATAGACGGCATCTTCACGCCTACTACGGATTACCAGACGGGGGTGGAGGTGGAGTTCTAACTGCGGAGACCAGAGCCACCTTCATGAGACCACCTGGTTCACCATTGCGGTGGGGCTGATTCGCCTGTTCTTGATTATTTTGAATTTGCGTTGCGATTTTGTTGTTCAGTTGTAGTATTGAGTGGTGCAAGCGTATATTTTGTCAACTAGTTTAAAAAATGACTATAATAATTTAGTGATTAAATATAATGATTAAACTTAGCATTCAAAATATAGAAATTTAGTAAGACTGTTTCTTTGGAAATATCGGAAACAGAAGAATGTTTTGTGCAACGGAACAAATTTATTTTATAATTAAGTACTGTTTTTTTTGTAAATGTTGATCAAGAAACGGAATATAATTATGACTGCGTACATCTGCTGGTATTGATTACAAATATCTTAAAGTATTATCGAGCGAACAATAATATATTATAATAATATCGAAGCTGAATAGTACAATAAATTGACCAACTGATTTATAAATTGTCTAATCTATAATCAGACAATTGTTTACTTGTTAGATCATTTTAATGATGTGAGATTTTCATTGTCTATTTTTACAATGTTTTATCGAGAATTAATAGTAGACATTTGCTCCAACATTATATGCAATACGGTAAAATTAGATATCATAAGTATCGACTGTCGCAATATTACTAAATGTGCATATAAATATTGACGCTTAATGTCTTCTAAGATACATACAAGTAATGGAATTGCATTGGGATATTACTCATGATACTTCCACGCCTATTGTGTCTATAACATTTCCTAGCGAAATATTTTATTAACCCTCATAGCGATAATAATAAACTATTATATGTAAATAAATACCGTGTATATCAGCGTCCGTGTGTTTTTTTCTTGTCGTTAGGTACCTCTTATTAGATTATTTATTTTGAATTTATTTGAGAAATACATTGAGCCCGATGCCGGTATGATTCGCCAAACCTAAAATTAGGTGTAAAAACTGCATATCCTTATCATACTCTATACAGAATGAAAAGGAGCAATCGCTATAAATAAAGTTTTACATTTAGGTAATTATGCCAAAAGCAGCATGGTATCTGGTTTTTTTTGTATGTTTAAAGGTTAGTAAACAAGTTTAAGGCCCAACCTGATAGTAAGCGGCCACCATGGCCTAGAGACACCCACGATAGGTACCAAAAGATCACACGCACCGTAGCCTACTCTGGCCTAATCCCCTAACCCCGTGAAGCCTTGGAACCTTACTAAAATATAACACCACCAAAAGGGAGAGTTATTTTACTGTGACCTTCTGTAAGTTAGAGGTTACTTCCCCAAATGGGCGCTCCAATTCGAACGGAGAATTCGCTATGTCCTACAGAGGTAGGGTAATATTTATTTATTATTAATACATATCTTGAATAAATTGAAATAAGTAATTTTGGTTATAGTTCCTAACTGTGTCGATTGCTAGCTAAGAAGCAACGTGTAATTATTAAAGGTAACCTTTAATAAAAAATGCACCTTTTTTTAAAATACTTTGAATACAAATACCATTACCACAATGCAATACTCATATCATAGAAATTAGGTTATTCAATCAAAAACACGTAGTGCCATCTTGCGGTAACTATCAGTACTTAATACAAAACATCGAAATCTTTAAAAGCATACAAAGGAATACACTTTCACAGATAAATGACTTTATCTCAACAAATTTAACGACAAGGTAAACAGATAAGACACTTAAATATTCGTTAATAAAATAAGAAGAATATCAATCCACATTTTTGTTCAGTGTAAGTAAGTCAACATAATAGATAAAAATGACGGTGAGTTTTACTTAGATAATTTTATTTTTAGATAATGGAAAACACATTTCATAACCTCTTATGTTAAGTGTTTATTAGTAGATTTCGAACTAAAAGACAGTGTTAAATAAAAAATAATAGACTTATTTTTCTTACTGTGTTATATTTTTTACATTAAGAGACATAAACAAAACAATACGAGTACTATTCTAACCTACGAAACCAATCCTTTTATTGTATATCTACCTATTTCATGAGATTAACATTATTTATTACTATAGGGTTAAGTATAACAAAAAAATATCATAATTGGACGTAGTTACGCGAAAACGTTCCAACCCACAAGTCACTCGAAAATGAGTTACCATAACCAGGGTACTATTTTTGCCATATTACATCATGTGCACACAAAGATGCTAGTATTTTTAAGTTAGTTTCATCAATAAAGTTTAACCCAAATGTTCCAACCCACCATTATGCCAAGGACGTGTACTCAAAATAAAGTAAAAACATTACATGCATACTGAAACATATTGTTAAAAACTCTTAATAGAATAACATATCGTTATAATGTTCCACTTGTCTTGGAACATTATACTAAATTCATAAAACGCACATTTAATGGTTTCTTAAATGATCCATGTGGGTTGGAACGTTTTTGCAAAATCTTTATACATTTTTTATTTCTGCAAAAATGTTCCATGTAATTTGAAACCTTTTAGATTAATCCATACTGTTTTTTTAAGCTGCGAACACTGTTCTAAATAAATTGAAACCTTTTATTATAATATATTATTTTCAAATTTTTTGCTATAAACAATCCACATATACTTGATCCATTTTTGCTATTAAATATGTTCTAGAGAAAAAGATATTTTTTACCAAAATAAATAACTATGGTATATTTGGACGTAGTAACGCGAAAATGTTCCAACCCACAGCAACCCCAATTTGCAATTTACACACTTTTTCCCTGTAATTATTTCAGGCAAATACTATTGGTTTAACTATGGAATGCCAAACTGATTATTGAATGATATGCATATTTTTTGTAAATACATAATACAAGGGGCATATAAATAGGTAAAACGAGTTTGAAATGTTTTTGCTAAATTAATTTTGTATGAACCTTGTTAAATAGCAATTATGCATAAACTTTCCAAAACGAATTTAAGTGTATTATTTTATAAAAATAAACCAAAAAGAAATATGTAAAATAATAAATAACAATGAGGAACATACAAAAACAACAAAAAAATATATTTGAAAATGTATTACAAAAAAATAGAACGTGATCTTTTGAGCTTAGAACCTATGCCAAAAATTTGTTGATATGGTTCCAAAAGTTATCAAAAACTTATATTATAATATAAACATTCAATTTTCATCATCGTATTCTATGATCTCGAAGTCCGGAACTCCACCAAACCCATCAACATCATCAGTGCTTCTTCAGAACTTTGAAGCGTTCTATAAAATTGAAGGCAATCCTCGGGTATGAGCAATCGGTTTGTCGTTAGGCCACAATAAGCAAAAATCAGATTCTTTTATGTATTGCAGTTCTCGTTTTATTCTTTTATCAATTTTCAACTCATTGAAATCGTCTTCCATCGTAGACCGCATAAAAATAGAAAACATTTTATCTTTATCCAACTTAATTTCTTTTGTATGTAGCCAACTAACTTTAGATGAGTCTGTAAACTTCTTCCTATTGATAATCTTCTTTTCCAGTTTAGTTGTACTAAAAAAATCAGTCTTTGTCATTTTGTAAACTTGAAGAGGTTTAACTTTTTTACTTAGTTCTACAATAGTGGTATCCATAGTGCATTTAATGATACTGGGCATTGTTATGTATTGGTAGAAGGAGAGGTAGAAGAGGTGCACAGGAAGTGGATTGCCTTCAATTTTATAGAACGCTTCAAAGTTCTGAAGAAGCACTGATGATGTTGATGGGTTTGGTGGAGTTCCGGACTTCGAGATCATAGAATACGATGATGAAAATTGAATGTTTATAATATAAGTTTTTGATAACTTTTGGAACCATATCAGCAAATTGGCATAGGTTCTAAGCTCAAAAGATCACGTTCTATTTTTTTTGTAATACATTTTCAATTTTTTTTTGTTGTTTTTGTATGTTCTTCATTGTTATTTATTATTTTACATATTTATTTTAGATATATTTATAAAATAATACACTTAAATTCGTTCTGGAACGTTTATGCACAATTGCTATTTAACAAGGTTCATACAAAATTAAATTTAGCGAAAACGTTTCAAACTCGTTTTACCTATTTATATGCCCCTTGTATTATGTATTTACAAAAAATATGCATATCATTCAATAACCAGTTTGGCATTCCACAGTAACACCAATAGTATTTGCCTGAAATAATTACAGGGAAAAAGTGTACCGCTAAAACACAAAATTGCGTTTATCTCAAAATGGGGTCGCTGTGGGTTGGAACGTTTTCGCGTAACTACGTCCAATTGTCAAAAATTATAAGATCAATCAATTCAATAATGAAAATTTCGAAATATTGTAATTTCATTCTTTTCGAGAACAAAAAGAAATTGAGCTAGTTACTTTAGGCTAATGCTACACTACGTGAATATTGTTTTACACTTTCATGGACACTGACTATATTGTTACTAGCGGGATTGTTACCATGTACCTTGTTTTTTGTGAGTCGCTCATATTGCGGCACTGTTGCAAGCACCATAATGACTCCGCCATCTTGACTCCATGATCATTGCGCTTGCAAAAGTTCCGAAATATCGGAGACTCACAAAAACAAGGTACATGGTAACAATCCCGCAAATAACTATAATGTTTTTGTTTAGTGCTACGAGCCAAGCTACGGCTCGCTTCACTAAGCTAGTAGCTTGGCTCCTTAGTCACTAATCTTAGTGAACAGATATAATATCTGTTCACTACTATGGCAGTTGGCCACTTTGCTAGTGACGCACTTTTGTGTGTATTGTTTCATGTGTACATGACCCGTTACTGTAAAATGGGGTAAAGAAGAGAAAAACGGTGGTGTGATTAAACTCAAAATTGTAAAGACCCCAAGGCTTAACGCCCAACACTATCATTAACCATACTAAGAAACTGTACAGAGGGTTTTTTTTTTTATGTTTATGTAAGAAAATTCTGTATAAATTAATTTTACTTTCTGATCTACTTAGGCGGAAAAAGTTATTCTTTATGGATACAAATTCTCTTCCTGTTCATGGCGGGTGCGAGCAGCGCTGCACCTCAAGGGTATATCTTTTGAAGAGAGACCAGTAGACATAGTGCGTAATCTTGGGCAGCTCTCAGAGGAATATCGTGCCATCAACCCAGCGCAAAAAGTGCCCGCTCTTGTTATTGGTAAGTTACCATTTTTAAGTACCTAAAAATTACCGATGGACTATAGCCTGCCTGATATAATCGCAAACGTCAATGTTTGAGATTTGACCTAGCTAAGACTACGATCTTGAGATACTGTTTTCATACAAAATATCTCAAGATCGCTCTCAGAGTTGAGGTCGATATATTAACACGAGCCTAAAACTAAGGCGCTTCTGATACCAGATAGTACGGTGCAAACTCACACCTAGTGTCATCGAATAATTATTAGCGAAGTCCTAGGTCCAACCTTGTTCCTTCCTTGTAGTTACTTCAGAAACTTCACGTAGATTACTTTGTAAGATTAACAGTCAAACTTAAAAAAACGCCACCATTGAGCTGAATCGATGACAAAATAACCATTTCTTAGTTCTACGTTCCAGAGATAAAATACTGCTAAATAAATATCTAGATTATAGTAAGCGGAACTAACTTATTCAGAACTTATACATTTTTTTAAATTTTTGCTATCAGCGTGCATATAAAGCTGAATGTGAACTGGCCAAGTTAGATCCTCGTGTTACGAGTATGTTACGTCAATAAAGTAAAATAACTAATTAAGACATGAATACGAAATAAAATATTCGATATTTGTTATTAATATTGTATATATAAATATTGTAGCTTAAATATATAACAGGTAGTGCGATTGTTAGTAGTGTTCGCTTCGTATACGTGGTTGTTATTGCGTGCCGCTTCTGCCACTTTGCTGACACGGCGGAACTCATACTCCATAATCAAACGAATTTATAACGTATCTATAATGACGAAAAACGACGGAAAATCTTACAGAACGCCTTCGATCAACAATTCTATAGATAACAGGTTGCATAAAAAATCAAAGCTTAAAAGCGTATGTTTAGACTTATGCAGCTACTTTCGATTCCCAATGAACAAAGATAAATGTTTTAAAACAGTCTAAGTTGAAATAAAAACAACTATGTCACAAAGGAATAAGGTTACAAATAACAAAATGTTATTTTGCACATACGACCTTTTATCTTATAAACGAACTCTTGTTCCTTTTATAAATTATATCTGATACTTGGAATAAAACGATAAAGGTGAAAAATGGAAAATGTGGAATCAACCTTATGACCCACGAAATAAAATATTTTTACCAGTCACGAGTTACTTCGCCCAAAAAACATTTAGGCGTCAATTAGAGCTTGTTTTAGAACTGACCGAGATATAAAGGCGCTACAGCAGCAGCACTTACAACTTTTGGCGACAAAAGAGCGTAAACAAGCAAAATATTTCACGTAGAGCTATACCACAGAATTACAAGGGTGATAACAGGGTGAGTTTAAAGGTTAAAGACATACAGCAGCATTTATTAACTCTACAATATGGGCAAAGCATCTTGTGTTATAGCTTTAAGTGAATCTTACAACTATAAGATCTAAATAAGAAGTGAGCATTGACTACAACCCCCCAAAGTGCTATGCAAGCGATAATAAACTCTCGCCAAGAACCAAAAGTTGCACAAAAGCAATAATTACCACTACCAGTTCCACAATGGTGCTCATAAATTCTTTTGTACCAAATGCCTAAAGAGGTACAAAATGCTCTTAAGTTACTAAAAGTCGAACAGCAGAAACATTCTTCGCTATGATAGAACTTCTAGTAGTTATTGTGACTTCTGTATAACTTTAGGTAGAGTAATAGAGCTTAATACCACTTCTGTACCCCTCATTCGTTTACTTGTTGTTGATAGTAATGCAATGGCGACGAATTGATTTGACTAAGGTTAGAAAAACATAAGAAAACACGGTTTAATTGAAGTATTTTGCTTTATTGTGTTCTAACACTACTAGCACAATACCTTAAACTAGAATAGGCAACGTTTTATTAGATTATTACAAAAGTTTTATGTTACTCCATATCTAATAAAATATTTCTTTTCAGTAAATAGACAACAGACATCGGGCGCTTGAATAATTTGTTAATAATACATATACTTATTCACAGTGTACTTATCTTCGCAGTAAAAAGTCAACTTCTGTGTCCACTAGGTTGAAACTATAAGATTACTTTTAATTTCATTTTCACAAACGAATGGCGGCGTTTTGGATGCGACAAATACATACGCAACTGTTCGCACATAAAAACGAGAGGTTAAATTATGTTGACGAAATAAAAAAATAGTCTTAGAAGTTAAAAAGGATACCACTTAGGGAGTTAGTATTCACCTATTCGCAGCCCTTTTAGCACCCAAACGGTTAATAAACGATATTTTATTCTATTGTACCACTAAGGGAGTGAATTTTCGCCTATTTATCACGTTTTTATCCCTTGTAGTTTCAGTTATCGCTATTATAGCTCTCTTATTGCTTTATTATACCTCTTAACCTATTCTGTAACTCTTATTTACCGCAATTAAACAACCTAAGGTGATAAAAAAGTGTGCCCATTTCGGGGGTATAGTAGAGATATAGCGCGCTCTAACTCCGAATGGGTAACACTTATTTATAACTTTAGGATCTGGTTAGCTCTTTAATAGATTTACTACTATATGTAATAACTCTTGTCTTAGCGCCTAAGTGTTAGTTGGGCGTTTTGTATTAACCGAACTAATCTATATAGGTACTTATAATAAATCTGTAGAGAGGTCAGTTCTGTACATGAAATATATTTTCAAAATAACTATCAGGGGGTTGATTAGTGATCGATACTGATACCAAAAATGCAATCGGTAAAATTTTTGTCTGTCTGTCTGTCTGTCTGTGTGTATGTTCCTTATAGAAACAAAAACTACTCGATGGATTTTAACGAAACTTGGTACAATTATTCTTCATACTCCTGGGCAGGTTATAGTATAATTATATATATACGCTACAATCAATAGCAGCAGAGTAGTGAAGGGAAACGTTAGGAAATCGGGAGAAGTTACTCCATTTTTTAAGCTTCCGTCGCGTGTGCAGCCTTAATGGTTAAAGTTACATAGAAATCATGTATTACGGAAATATTCTACATAAAATTGTCTAAAAAATATCCCGCAACAGCATATGTCTATCTTTTATGGTTGACACACAATAACACGTGTAATTATATAAATAAAGTCATTGTTTATAGCACAAGCCTGAGAACAAAAACTATAGTTTACACTACAGCTCTACACCGAAGCGAAGCGAGGGCGGGCCACTAGTTTAAAATAAGATCTCACTCCTCAAGTGAGTCTATATTTACCGAGACAGATTTTACGCGCTGACCTGTCTATAGAATATAGCTGATCTATAGAATTGACGCGAAGCATTATTATTAATTTAAAAAAAAATCCAACAATAAAAATAATTTGAACATAGAATTCTTAGAAAAAAATGGACTAGAAATAGCCAGTATGGTTATACCTATCGCTATACCTATTATCTATGACCTTTTCATAACTTATAATTTGAGTAAGGGATAAACAAAATGTTTTATTTCTCACTAACATATATTAGGTACAGAGCAGATACGTGTATCGTCCTTAGTCGTTCGCAGCAAAGCGAATATCGATGTAAAGTGAGAATCGCAAGTGCGATGATTTAAAAATTTGGAACCATCGAAATTTGGGGCAAAACTTGTACCCAAAGCATATACCAATCCGGGAAAACCGCTTAAAAACAAAACCTGACTTAGGGTTGTCGAATATGACAACAATTTTATATCCGAACCTTCGATCTACAAAAATATGAAAGTAAATGGATTTAGAAATAAATGTGTATTATTTACTTACATAAATTAGACAAAGGGATTGATTTTAAAAGGTTTTTTTATATAACATTACAAGGCATCTGGGGACGTCGGTTATAAAAATGTAATGAATAAGCAATCATTAAGGCGCAGAAGCAAGGCAACATTTATGTCTACAGCCTCTCTAGGGAATCCTGAAAGAACATGTTAAGCATAATATATTATTTATAGGATGCCTTTTCCGAAAATCTTAAAAATATTTGTAAATCTAAGATTGGAATGTGTCCTTAACTGAATGATAAAATAGAAAAAACAAAAACAACAGGAGAAAGCAAATTCAAATAATGCCTATTCACTCCTTTAATGGTGTCAATTTTGGCATGATTCTCTAAACTTAAAACTAAATTGAATATCAGTCTCTCTATCTTTTCTATCTTTTCATTCTGTATAGAGTAAAGAATGACAAAGATACACTGTTGTAAAATATAAGTTTAGGTTTAGAGAATCATGCCAGAATCGACACCAATATTATACTAGAGTCTGTGCGGAAAGAGAATGGGATTTAGATTGGAGGTCGCTGTAGTGGTTTTCTACCGTATTTGAAAGTTTTTACCCCTTTTAGATATGATTAAATACAAAAAAAACCGCAAGAAATCACAACAACAAACAAATCCGTATCAATATAAAATTTTAACATTTTACAGATTGCTGGGTTTGATTGTCAAATAAAAATCTTAATGTTAGTTCCGTTTTTCGCCACGCCCATTCTATTTCCGCACAGACTCTAGTACGCGCATGCACTTAATAATAAAGACTGACAGCCCTAAATTTTATCCCTCGGATTCACTCGTGATGACACAACAGCACTTGTGCAGATCGAGTGCTCTCAACTAACCACCCGACGTTATTGCGTCAACGGGTGCGCTCGTCAAAAGAAGATTACTCACACACTAATTGGCTAAGCCTTAAAATCCCTCGAAAGAGGGTGAGGCTGGCTGCCTGACAAAATAAAAAAAGAATTCAGCCGCAATTCACGAAATACGTCTATTGCTTTACAAATACATGGAAATAATTACCGCTTTGAGTACATAATGTGAAAAGGTTTGATACTTCAAAAGCAGATCTGGGTATCGGTGTACCTATAATTGATTAGTTATACCTTATTACTCCACTCCGGAGTGGAGACCGCGTCTAGGCAAACGTAGTGTAGGACGTCCTCAGGCGCGATGGAGTGACGATTTGCGCAAGGTGGCTGGCAGGAGCTGGATGCGAGTAGCCCAAGATCGATCTGAGTGGCGTGCATTTGGAGATGCCTATGTCCAGCAGTGGACTAAGATAGACTGTTGATGATGATGATGTTGATGATGATGACCTTATTACTACAAAAAAGTTAGACATGTGTTCAACAAGAGTTTAATAGAAAGTGTTATACAAAATTTGCCTAAACAATGTTTGAAACCTCGTCATACTTTTATAGCAAAAAAAATTTTAGTTATGCCAGTAATGTGTTAAAGCTCTAATTTTTTCAGTGATAATTGATGGCCCATTCGGAGTGGAAAGCCTGTTTCTGGACACCCATAACAAGCAGATGCATTCAGAAAATGTCACTATTATTTCCGTTTCCGGGCAATAACTTAGGGCCCGTTGTTTGTTACAAGATAAATGTGAATATATATTAGTGAAAATGCCTTTGACCATGTTGTTTGTTATATAGTTTTTGACTATTAGTCAATGTCACGCCAAATACATAGTGAAATGTGTCAAATGTTGACAAATAGTTACTCAAGTTACTTACTATACAGGAACAATGAACCTAAAACTAAAAACCTTAAAAATATAATATATAATAACTAAAATATATTATTAAAAGGAGTCCCTTTAGGCAAGGTTCCGAAGATACCATTTAAATAATAATATTAAATATAAGATATAAGTTTGAGACCCTTGGTCTGTGGGGTCCTAACGCTATAACGTTTTTTAAGAAAATATCAAAAAGGTTGGTCGACATCACTGGAGACCGAAGAGCAGGCTGCTACCTCGGACAAAGAATTAGTTTAGCTATTCAAAGGGGGAACGCTGCCAGTATTTTCGGAACCTTGCCTAAAGGGACTCCTTTTAATAATATTTTTTAGTTATTATATTATATTTTTTAAAGGTGTTTAGTTTTAGGTTCATTGTTCCTGTATATATTATTATTGTACTTATTATAATAATATATACATATTTCAGTAGTTCAATGATTGTAGATTAGTTTAATAAAAGTTTTTCCTGTTCAGTTCATATTAATTCATAATTAATAAGTTACTCTCTATAATATTTTAATAATAGACACATTTAACTATACATATATCAAAAACGCGACCTAAGTAGATGCTTAGAACAAAATATTAGACGATAAAAAAAGAGCTTTTTAAAAAGTCAAATTGATAAAGGTATTGTATGGTGTCATGTAAGACATTCCATTTTTCATTTTGAATATGTATCGTTGTAGAAATAATAAAAAGTACGCGCGTTTGATCAGTGATTGTGGAAGTCAATCTGCAATCACAATGGGGGCAAGGGCATGACATTAGAGAGGTGATTTAAATTGGTTATCTCTCAATTTACGAAGATCAACTGTTGGTAGAATCAGCATCCGTAGTTATTAGCACCCACCTACCAGGCTGTAAACACGCTTGTCTGTTATGGCCGGTTCTCTCTTCGTGTTTCAGTCATTCAGATCATAGAGTTAGACTGTTCTCCAGCAGTATGAAGATTGAACAGATAGATGCCTACATTCCGAATTGACCTGAGTTTTCCACCTGGTTAATCAGTTAGGAATTAATATTCCTTACCTTGTCCATCTGGTTGGTTACTATTGGCATTAAAGTAATTTGATTTTTAATATCGACAAAAGAACTGCCTAACCTCAATACTGTTTAAATACCCGGCAAGCAAGTGTCATCATCATCAGCCTATTAATATCCCCACTACTGGGACACAGGCCTTCCCCATTGATGGAATAGGGAGGGAGATTGTCCCAAGACCCATCACACGGGCCCAGAGCGGATTACTGGGTGCTAAAGATTGCAGATGCATCCGGAACTAACGGCTTAACTTACCTTCCGAAGCACGGAGGAGCTCGAGATAGTAATATTTTGGTCAACCATCCAATGACCGACCACTGCAAAATTTGCTTAACTTCAACGATCGCAGCCACTACCAAACGCGCTAACCACTTTCTCTATCGAGCTCCTCAACCTAATATTGGCATTTAATTCGATTGTTTCATATCGAGAACAAAAGTGTCTAGCCTCGAGCTTATACCTAACTGCTGAAATACCCTTTACGCATAGAGGTATACTTTATCATAATATCTATCATAGCATTAGACTCAATGAAGCTCTTGCTAGACATTGTAACAAGCTGGTCAATAACACCGAACGACCATTTAACGAATACGCCCGCTTTTAATGAATACCAGTCAATAAAAAGGCAGAATTGAGAACTATTTAGGCCATTGAAACTTGCGAAAGGTCACTAACCAACCAATCGGTGGGGCTATTTACATCGGATGATAAATCTTTTGTATCCAAAGTAAAAACGCGGAATACATTATTCCTTTAATAAAGAACGTCAAGTACATACATTAATTTACTCCACAATACTTTGGTGTCATAGACAAGCCATCGTCGGTCGGTAACAGTGCCTGATTTAGATTTCTGACCTCCCTAGGCTAGCTATGAATATGCGCCCCCCTGCCTGCCTGTCCTACCATTTCATTCACTTATTTAAATGTGTATATTTTTATCTAAATGCCAAAATGCAATAAAATCGAATTAGGCATATGTAGTACTTATGTAAGTAATATTATTGAAATATTTTAATCGTACACAATAAATCTCCTTTCTTTACGTGCATTATCTAATTGTCACGCACGGACCTGAATTGACACGGTGATTAGCCGAATGTCAAATACATCTCCAACAGGTTTCTTTCGTTAAATAGTACCTACTTTATTACCTTTCACCAAAGCGTTTACTGGTTCACTGATCACTTACACTTCAATGAAATCTAAACAAATGAACACCCACATACAAAAAAATAGACGCACACGATAAATCTCTTACCCTATCGCATTGTGTACCTTTTATTCTCGTGTTAGTTCAATTTGTTCAAGAACAATAGAACAATATACCTAGTTGTTTGGTTATACTAAAACAACAAAGATATTTATTTATATTCTATTATCACAAAGCCGTTTCGTACGTTACGAAAATGAACCTATGGGTAAGCATGTATACTTTTGTTTAGTATAATGTTTTTTATAAAACTTTGTATCATTGTTTATTATTATTCTAATCATTTAATTCCCCATTTTTAAATTATAAAATTTCTTCAGATTTATATAGTTCATTTTTTTTACTTATATAAAAAAAAACTATTTCTTTATAGTTACAAGAATTGATTTTTTTCCTCTTTTTATAATTACGTATTCTTTCATTCTTTATAGTACAATCGCTCCTATTTCAATAGATTGCGGTAATGAAAACGAAATATGAAAAAAAAATAGGATAAATTATTTGATTCCAATGACTCATATGAAATGTGAATTAGAACTTTAAGATCAATGATTATCAAAACAATTCCACTCAACAGGACCTAATATAGGAATAGGTACTGAACGTACGCACACTTAGCAAGAACCAACAATTTATCACTGTTCGTACAATGGCAGAGTCTAATTTGTTTTAAAACAATACAAATTCCAAATTGAAATTGCTAAGACCGTTTAAACAAATAGACTTTGCCGTTTAGAAATTCGTTCAATGTAAGTTTTCAACGGGTGGTTGGCGGGTCGATGCCATCATCTCAATGGGCCCCATTTCTATATAGTAATCATAACGCCTATTTCATTTTCAATGAACTTAACTTTTCATGGACTGTATATAGAAAGCCGAAACGCAAAACTATGAATTTAACACAAAAGTTCCAAGTTCTTAACTATCAACTTTGCTTTGGGTAAGAAATTAAATATCTGTAATATATAAAATGAATCGCTGAATGTGTTGCTAAGAGCAAATCTCGAGATCAGCTGAAACGATTTCGATAATTCTTTTTTTAGAATATTACTTGAAGTTCGAGGATGGTTCTTACGCAGAGAAAAATTAAAAAAATGCCTGAAAAGTCCAAAAACAACACTTTTCTATACTCTCATACAAACGATTCGTAATAATATTGAAAGTCAATTTTAACTTTAATACCACACCATAAATTTCAAATATTAGCGGATAGGTTCCGGAAAGGCAAAACAATTGAGTGTCCAATACCAAATACCATTATCAGTTTTTTTATAGTTATATGTAGAGTCATTTTAGTCTACACTACAGCTCTCCACCGAAGCGAAGCGAGGGCGGGCCACTAGTCTAAAATAAAAATCGGTTCCGTAATTTTTACCCGAATTGTAAAAAAATACCATTTAATAAAATTAAACTGAGAAAATGTCCAGTATTAGCTCTCTGGTAAAGAAACGGAAGCTCAAAACATTACTGGCGATATTTTGCCCGAAAAATCCAAAAATCAATATATAAAAGTTTATAAAGGAGTTTAGACATGGACTTATTATACATAGAAAATGGAAAAGGAGTTATCAAGTAGTTTCAGTTCCTGAATCTTTACTTCTGTGTACTTTAAATATTTATCACATTAAGTTTCCATAACTGAACTCTAATATAAAATCTAGTAATGATTCTAATAACTTGATTCTAATATAACTTTTAATTTCTACTGTTCTAACAAAACTTGCTTTTATTTGGATTTATAATTTATTTTTTATTTAACCTTACAGTAGGTGTTTAAAGTAGATAATGCTCCTCGGGGATAGACGTGTCTTAATCTTGGGCAGAATTAAATCCTTTGCCCTCAATGAAGAGGGTAAAAAAAAGGATTTCTTTAAATAAGAAAAACCAATGTCACAAAATATTTCGACATTATAAAAATATATTTACAGGCTGATAATGATTATGATCCCCTTGGTGCAAAATCTACTCTTTTAGATGGAGAAACACTGGTTGAGTCGATGGCGATCCTTCAGTATCTGGAAGACACGCGACCAGAGCCGAAACTTACTCCGAGCTCGCCTCTCGGCAAAGCCCGCATGCTTGAAATCTGTGAGGTAAATATATATTTATTTTTCAAATAAACAATACATGATATAAGTTAAGAAATATTATAATGAAAGCCACTGGTTACATGAATTTAACACTTTCATTAGGAACGCTGACAAAGCCTAGTACTCAATAACTTAAATAATAATAAGAAAATTTATGAAATGAAATGAAAAAACCTTTATATGAAAAAACCAATTTAGACAATTTAAAAGAGACATATAACAACTTAAAAACTACCTAATGTATAAAATTTTAATACGAATTTCTTTAACCTACTTACGAATAAAATCTACTTTATAAAATGAAAAATATGTCACCCCCAGCGCCGCCGTCAGGAATGGTGCCCAATAGGCTGGCAGTATTGCCATGTTGAATGGCAAGGCTCATCCGCTGACCAAGATAGCTGCCAGCCTTTTGGTCACCAGTCACTTCGGTGAGTCTGTTTGATAATTCCTTAAATAAGGAATGAGCGCTTGGACTCCATGGGCCCATAGTCTCAACACCAAACGGCACAAACAAATAGTTCTCATTGAGAGCTAAATATTAGCGCCGCTTGGCGGCAGAGATCGCCGCCGCGCCCGCAGCAAGGAGGTATTCCCTGTATGGCACGAAGCAAGCGTATCCGCGCAAGTTGCGTCCCATAAAATAGGGCGACCCTGCTTCCAAGGAATGAGCGTCCGTCAGGCCTCTTGCCACCTCTGGCATGCTGACTATATATATAGACGTATATTATACTTTTATGTATTTTGAATAAAGAGACATTCATTGATTCTAAAAATGAACACACACTACTAAAGTGTAGAACAAAACGATATTTTAAAGTCGTTTTAATGAAACACAATGGAACCATACACACCAGACCGCGCTAAATGGTCTGAATCTTGAAAAACTGCAGGGATATTAGACTAATACATGACATTTTCAGATATCACGCGGCCAATTTACGGTTAAATCCCGCACCATACCTTTAGTACCCTCAAAATTGATTTTCGTTACATGATCGTCGTCGTCGTCCGTCCTACTTGACTATTATAGTTTTTTATACCGTCTATTAGGCCATGACACGAGGAAGTTCATTAACGATTTTTAAAAGTATAGTACCTCTTCAGCACGCACAAGTAAATAGGGCAATTGTCCTTTTGTATTCGGATATTTACCCTTTATATTACAATAAAATAAATAAAAAGTATTCAACAACAAAACATAAGACACAGTGTAATTTAAACTCCAATGCATGCAAAGAAACTAAAAGATAACATTATCCCCATCAACGTTTTGCAGCGGTAGTTATTTGCTCACACTGAAAAAACGCAAGCATGGAAAGATATTTAAAGTTATAGCAGCGCACTAACGTCAACAACATCCCTAGCATAGTGTACTCGGAACCGGGACAAATATCCAACTGCAGCGACTACCCTGTTTGTTTGTTTATAAGAAGGTATGAGTTTCTGTCGATTATAGAAGACAGCAAACAGACGAATTCCTTCACCTTAGTCCCCACTTAATGCTAAATATGGATGAAATTAAGTATCTGATGCATAAACCACCCCATCTTACTAACCTGATTCCGATAACCCTAACCCTGGTAGCAAAGGCAGCCATACGACTATAGGGACCGGAAGAGACTTTCTAATAATTAGACCTACAAATAAATAAAATAAATAAATAAATAAATAAATATTTCCGACACTCACACCAATTAGCCTAGCCCCAAAGTAAGCACTATAAGGCTTGTGTTATGGGATGCTAGGGTAACGGATAGAATACATACACTGTACATATATAAGTATATTTATATAAATACATATTAAACATCCATGACTGGAGTACAAATGCTCGTATTCATCACACAAACATCTGCCCCCACCGGGATTCGAACCCGGGACCTCTCGAGTCGGTGACAGCCATGAAACCCGGCGTACAAACCACTCGGCCACGGAGGTCGTCAACGATACTTAACGATACTTTAATAAAGGAACGCGCGGAAATACCTATTCGTGGCAATCAATTTGTGTAACTGCTTTGTATTGAATCTATTTTCTGTTTAGCCGATAGCATCCGATATTTTGAACGTTAAAAGCCGCGTTACCGCGTACTGACTGAGCGAGCAGCCTCGCGACACGAGGCAGCCTCGGACGTTTACTACGCAATGTTTGCTGCGCGCGCCTCGGCCGAGTCACGGTGAGGCTGAGCCAGCATCGAGAGAATGCGTGCGCCTAACGCAGCTTATAACCAAGTTTTTCAAAAGATCGCCATGAGGCCGTTTTTTCAGAGAGCAAAACTCTTCGACATACGCAAAAAATAAAATAGAAAAAACCGACATTTTTTGATGAGAAAAATATCTAGAAACAGATCACAGGCTGGAAACAAACTTATTTGAAGAGTTGTGCTTTAATGGTGGAAAAGAAATTTTACTTTAATAAGTAAATTGATTTTGAATATTTGCCTCGCGTGACTGCCTCACGTCACGAGGCTGGTCGCTCAGTCAGTACGCGATTATTAATGAATTTGAATCTTCAAAGTATTTCACAAACATACGTTTCTGAATTCTATATATACGTATAGTAAATATTAATTATTTGGGAGTATTTCAATAACGATTTTATAACATGTTCATTCTGCCATATTTTTATAGAAATAATTTCGAAACAGCTTCATATTCAATGTTTCTTTATTTATTTTGCCATAGACTATTGTATCCGGAATCCAACCGCTTCAGAACTCGGGGATAAAGAGGCACTTCGAGACTGAAGAACAGTACAACAAATTCACCCAGCACTGGTGTGATAGAGGATTAAGAACACTGGAAGATCTGCTCAGCAAAAGATCAGGACGGTACTGCGTAGGAGATCAGTTGACATTGGCCGATCTATGTCTGGTTCCGCAGCTCTTCAATGCGACCACAAGGTAATAATAGGAAGCTTTCTTCTTTTCATTCGACTTCTGCAAAACCATTTGGCCCTTCGTATGAGCTTTGCCAAAGTAAGATTAATGATTTTAGCAGTTTAAGTTTGTATGTTACATTGCAGCGGTGAAACTACGCTAGGGCTCCTGTTGCTATATTATGAACTCTTAATACTAGATAAAATGTTAATGCCAGATGAATTATATTGTAAGTGGGAGACATCACATCACGACACAAGTACACACAGTACTATACAGCGTCATCGTTCTTTATCTTGACGTTATCTTATATCCTAATCCTAACTAATATTATACTTAGATGGGTAGGCAGGGGTAGGGGATTGCGTCGAGGACCAGGGAAGACAACGATGCGAGTGATATTTTAGGTATCGCAAGCGTCTATATGGTGGCCGTTTACCATCTGGTAGGTCATATGCTTGATTGCCACCTTTTTAACATAAATAAGTAAACTCGGACAAAGTTCACTAGTTAGTTCATAACACGCTCCTACGGTCCCTATAAGTTGGCAAGCAAGCTAGGCACCAAGTGGTAAGGGTGTTCATCAAATTCTTAACATTAGAGCGAAAAGAAGATTTACGCGCAGTGGTTCTGCTCATCCTCCTTAAATTTGGATCTGCTGAATTACAGGATACTAGGCTTATTACATTAATGACGTTCTGAAAAAATAGAGCTACAATTTGTTAGCTATGAGTTCTGGGGTGCTCATATCTGTACGGACGCACATCGACTATAAATATACATGAATTTAAAAATTCTCAATCTAAACAGTGGTTCATATCGGCTTTCAGTGAATAAACTGGAATACAATAATAAAATAAAATTATAATTTTAAATTTAATAAACTGACTGCAAAACCAAGTCAATTGAGGCCAATCACCGCTAAGGGTATACAAACGTTTGCGCGTGGAATTATGAAAATTTGTGACCCGATTCATTGTTATATAAATTATTCTGTTCTTTTTTGTATTCATACATAAAATTTTATTTTATTGGTATCCTAATAGAAAGCATTTGAATAAACCCAACTGTTTTTGTTCTTTTGAATGATCACTACTACACAATATTTTATTTATAATTAATTGTTCACAGACTGCAGCTGACTCTTGACAAATACCCGACTTTGTCGAACCTTTACGAAATATTGCTCGAAGAAAACATATTTAAACAAACACATCCTAAGAATATTAAATGAAATATAACAATTGTCAAGAGATAGCATAATTAAACATGTTTCACAATTAACTAAAACAACAAAAGCAGCAAAATAAAGTAGTTCAAGCATGAAAGTAAACCTTGAATTTTGTGTTTGATCCAAAAATTTACAGAAACCAAATTTATGCTTAATAATTTTGTAGGTAGTTTATCTCTAAATTCACTAACACGTAAATCACAAAACTAGCAAAGTTCAATGAATAACACAATCTTATCAAGAGAAGCTTCTGTGAGGTTTAGTTTGGCACTAACTAACTTTGTTCCGCACCAATTGAAAAGCAAACCGAAATCCTAAAATCTACTCGAAACCCTACTAACAACGAGAACGACGAAACTACTACCTGCAACAAATGTAAATTGTATTGTTTAGTTTCGTACGAACTAATTCGTAGCCTGTAAGTTCGGAATATTTGCAGTTAAAAAGGATTATTTGTTTGTGCTTTACAATTATTAGAAGAAAGTTAGGGTACATAGGAATTCCCGCAAGTATCAGAGCAACATTTGAAAGTAGAAAAGAAAATACAAAAGACATTACACGTAAGTGGTCTACATTTTAAAACTATTTTCTAATATCTGTAGATTCGATTCTTTTTTTATGTTTATGCAGCCAAACGAGCAGGCAGTCCACCTGGGTGTCGATTCTGCTAAGCTAAAGTAATAATCGTGTGTCAATGGTGATTCAGTTGTTTTGGTTTTTAATACAGTTACTCTAAGTAAAACACAAAATAAGAAGCTTATTTGCTTAGTCACTTGTTATAGTTATCTATATGCATTTGTTATTTAATGTTTTCATAACAAGAATTATGTCAAAAAGCGATACTGTTTATACACGATTTTTATGTTAGCTTAGCAGAATCGACACCCAGATGATAAGCCGGCACTAACGCCCATGGACACTTGCAGCACCAAGGGTTTGAAGGAAAAGGATTACCCGCCTTTTGAAGACTCACATCATAACTAAAAGGGAAGACCACTTTGGCAATTTTGTTCCAGATCTTGCTGATGCACAAAAAAAAGAAAAAGGAACGCGCGTGACGCATGGCGCATTCTCTGACATACGAGTATTTCTGGTAACTGACTCCCTTAGTGAGAATTAGAGAAATCAGGAACTTTAATAAAGAACCAGACATCTTTAGATGCCACTCTAAGGCATTAGAAACTCATAATTTTACATGAAACGAAAAGTTTTGAACCCTTTCGGGACTCTGCGGTCTAAACCAGACTTATTCGTGGTCTAAAAGGGCAACATGATTAAAACTTAATTAATTTTAACAGTAATTTTCTAAAAGATCTATATGTGGTACTGTGGTACTTAAAGAGTATTACAAAATTTTATAAGCGGAGGCTATATACCAGTGGTAAATTATTATTAACTATTTTATATTTATTTATTTAATGGTATATCAGAAAACATGTAAATACCTAGATTTAGGACGTTTTTGTATATTATACTCGTTTTCGTAAGGGATTACGATACGCTGCCCAAGCCTAGATGTCCGATAATGGAATGGCGAAGGCACAATGCTTCCAATACACATGGGAATTTTTCTTTCAATTTATTATGAGTTAATTGCTTAGAATTTGAAATATTCCACAACATTGGAATACTGACCTATTTGTGTAAAACTAATTAAAGTCTGTTTCCTTATTGTAGTAAGAATTCAACATCAGTGAACTACATTTCCGGAACTCGCACGGAAGGCAGAACTGTGGAGTGAGTATTTAAAACTTTCCTTGTAAGGAACTGGATCAAACAATTTGCAACTCGCAAATAGACAGTTAACACGTAGGTAGAGTTCGTATTTACATTTCACGTGTGACAATCTCGAAGACTAATTTTAGTTAACATGGCGCGCTTCATGCAAGACAAGACCCTTCCGCTCCTGATTTTAAATCTGTGTAGTAGTTAAAAAACATAGTTGATGAAGTAGAAAAAGCTCCTGAATTTGCCGGCCTGGACCCAATCGCCTACCCCGTGGAGCTATGAATACTTATTCAAAAACAGAAACACAACACCACCATACAAAAATGCAATTTATGGGAATATTATTTTAGGATTACTATGTGAAGATAGCCTGATGTAAATTGTTCTCGAATGGACAAGATAGTAAAGGGAACGACAGAAACCGATTGGACAAAAATAATAATATACGTAGGATACACTGCAAAATACACCTAGGCAAGCAGAAAACAAGAGCAATGGTTGTCCGAAAGATATTCTACTCTCGCTCTACTTACTGAAGGTATCATGGTTACCAAAACATAAATATGTTACTATAAACGCCCAAACTACGGTTAATCCTAAGATTTTCCAGTAATACCTCAGATTAGCCTACTCTTAATGATAAAATTACATACGGTTTTGTGATTCGAACTTACCACCTTTCATTTGGTAAATCTTAGGATTTCAATCAAAGGCAGGATAAATGTTGAAAAAGACATGAAAACAACCACATACAAATGATAATAGATGACAAACGTTTTTTTTTTCTAAAAATGTCAAAGTACTTTACAAAAATTACAAAATTTACAAGAATAAGTGAGTAAATATTTTCTTTACATTTAAACATCTAGCAGTTAAATGCTTAAAAATAAAAATATAATAAATTACAATTGCTATTTCTTTTTTCCAAATATTTAATACTTGTAAAGTTATTTAATTTGACATTGTGAGTTACCTACAATGCGAAGATGGCGCTGCCTTGCAGCCTAAGAAATACTAGAGAAAATTCGACACTGCCATCAGGATCGCGGTAGCATAATTGGTAAGTGCATCCGCCCGGATTGCGGAGGGTACGAGTTCGAGTCCCGTCTGCTGTCTGGTCCACGTGTAATTTTTTATTTGTTTAAATTTTTTTATGAACAATAATATAAAGCCCAGAGAACACCTTATAATTTAAAAATAAAAATATTTTTATTCATGCAAATTAATTCCTATAAGGTTCCTGTGGAATTCTGCATAAACCTAAAGTTATCTAAGGCCGCAAATACTAATTACTCGCATAATAAAAATAATTTCGACGACCTCCTTGGTCGAGTGGTTTGTACGCCGGGTTTCATGTTATCGCCGACTCGAGAGGTCCCGGATTCGAATCGCGATAGGGGCAGATGTTTGTGTGATGAATACGAACATTTGTAAAATATAATGATTAAGTAATTGAAATAATGAGAAGTTTCTGGCGTCGCGTTGCTGAGAGTATGCGAGTGTGTGTGTGTGTGTGGCGTGCGTGCGTGTGTGTGTGTGTGTGTGTGTGTGTGTGTGTGTGTGTGTGTGTGTGTGTGTGTGTGTGTGTGTGTGTGTGTGTGTGTCTGTCTGTCTGTGTGTGTGTGTGTGTAGGTGTGGTAAAGTGTGTCATGTGCAAGGATGCAGAAGATCTTCAGTCTCGTTATATTTTAACATATATAAAAAATTAAATATTTCTTTTTTACATTTGTATTTGGTTAATTGCAATATGTTAATTTTTTTGTGTAATAAGTTATATAAATGTGGACCGAGAAAATAGAAGAAACGCTTAGCAAAGGCAGACTTGCGCTGTGAGCATGGAACCACAAGACGATTTCGACGTGATATTAGCGTGGGATCGGTATAAGAATGTTGTTTTAGAATAGTATGCATTACAAATAATTGGCGAACAGTCAGGACCTCGCAGTACTGATATAGATCATACGTGGGGTGTAGAATTGGCTTTAGAGTACAAACTTTTAAAACTGCCCTTTGAGCTCTTTCAAGAGTCAATAAGATAGTTTTATATGTCATGAGGTAATACAGTAGGTCAGAATGGATTCACAGAGTGCCTTGTAGATGTTTTTGACAAGGTTAGAATCTGCTACATGCCGAATGTTTTCAAAGATATGCATGAGCTTTCGAATCCTTGCAGCTGTTAAATCTATGTGGGGCTGAAAAGTTAGTCTAGTATCGACCATAACTCCAAGATATTTAACCGAAGAAGCTTGACTTAAGTGGGGACATAAACAATTTGACGAGTAATCGTCTGAGTGATGGGTGTGTGCCACAAGAGACAAATTTTGAAGGGCTTCTTGAGGGATCCTGACCTTAGACATAGGCAAATATTTCGTTTTTTCGATGTTAAGTGACAGGAGGTTTGCTCTTAGCCAATCAAAAACTCTATCCAAACCATACTGAGCATGTCTATAAACTTCTGGCAAGGAATCCGCGGAAAAAATCAAGGCAGTGTCATCTGCGTAGGAAAAAATTTTACAATGGGGAATTACGAGAGATGACAGCTCATTAATATAGACTAAGAATAGAGTTGGACCCAGTATACTGCCCTGTGGCACACCATACTCGATGCGCAAATCCGAGCTCACAACTCCATTCACCACGAGACGCTGCGTGCGATCAGTAAGATAGCTGTGTAACAATGTCAACTGTTTTCCCCTCACTCCAAGGCGATGAAGTTTGTGTAATAGAATTGGAATTGAGACCGTGTCGAACGCCTTGGCAAGATCAAGGAAAACAGACAAACACTTACCTCCCTTGTCAAGAGTTCTAACTGTATAGTCCGTGAGGTCATGGACAGCATCAGCGGCAGATTTTTTAGCCCTAAAACCCTATTGTCCCTACGATAACAGAGCTGAATTTTCAAGATAATGCATTAGACGCTTATTTAAGAGCCGCTCCAAGATTTTAGACAATGCTGGGAGAATTGATATAGGACGATAGTTATTAGGGCAGTTTTTAGGGCCAGACTTGTAGATTGGATGAACAAGTGCTTTTTTGAATGCAGTAGGAAAGATGCCAGTCCTGAAAGATTGGTTACATATGTGAGTTATCATCGGAACAAGGGTATTCTTGAAACGTTTAATAAACAAAGATGAGATTTCATCCCACCCAACCGCACATTCACTTTTTAATGAATTGATGATACTATCGACCTCATCAGTAGTGGTTTCAAGAAGGACAAATGACTTTATCGGTGGGCAAGGGAGAGCAGCCGATCTCTGACTTGGTACAACGTTGGGGGAGTTAACCGCAATCTTTTCAGCAAGAGATTTACCCACGCTAACAAAGAAAGCATTCGCGTGATTAACTGATTGGTCTGGTGAGGATTTAGTTAGTAATAAGTCATCTGCATTATTACGGTTTTTGTTCATGTTAGCAACATCTCGAATCGCATCCCAGAGCTTCTTATTGTTCTTACCAGCCAAACGCAACATCTCTCTATCATAGTCCAATTTTACTTTTTTGATGAGAGAATTACAAAAGTTACGATATCGACGAAAAGTGATTTTAAGAATATCATTATTAGGATCTAGCTTAAGGCGTTTGTGCATTTGATCACGATTTCTGATAGATCTAAGTAAGCCCTGCGTTATCCAAGGTTTTA